TGAGCCTTCGCTATTAATTTCTTAGCATTTCTTTTCGCCATCTTGTAAATATCGTTATCACTATTTTCTTTACTATTATACCATTCTTTGAAGCCCTCCGTTTCTCATCCACAGCTTTCGCTACCTCCGGGTTTCACCACTAAGTCTCCTTATGTCTAGGCGGACCTTTTGTCCATCCACATACCTCCTCAGTTGTCATCACCCAGGCTTTCTTCATGGCTTCCCACTTGCCATTTACCCCAGATGCTTGTGCCACCTCCGTCTCCATTATCGCCAATGTCATATGGATTTGACGTCTGGCATTCTCCTTATTGTATACCTGTTTACTTTAGAGAGTACATCATGCATTGTTTTTCTTTCAATCTCACTTTCATTTAAAGGGGTTTGTTCCCTCACCTGTATTTGATTTAATGTTTCTTCTTTTGGTATTGTGGTTCCCTGTAATCGAGATAGCATATCAGCTTTGGCTAGTTGTCGACTACTTTTGAATTCTATTTTATATTGGTAACCTGCTAATAATAAATATCTTTGTATTTGGCTGTTGTTGGTATATCTTTTCTTGGATTAAATAAATCATTAATGGCTTGTGATCCGTTTGTAATGTGAACTTTTTTCCATATATAAATTCTTTGAATATTTTAACTCTAAATATGATGGCAAGAGCTTCTCTTTCTATTTAGCTATAATTTTTCTTGGCTGCATTTAGCGTTCTTGAGGCGAATGCAATTGATCTCTCCTTACCCCCTTCTATATGTGATATTAATGCCCCAATTCCTAGGCTGACGCATCTATTGCTAATTTTCGAATATTTTGTATATAGTCTATTAATTTTTCCTCATTTTACATTATATTGATAAAAATTATATCTTTCTACAATTATATTAAGAGTAGGATGAAAAAATTTGATTAAAATATTATGTATTACTTTTATTTCTTGGACTATCTGGTGCACGTATTTACCAATATTTTATAAGTATCACATCCTATTGATGTTAATAACATGGATTTTTCTTGTGGTGATGTTAACCTTGGTTGTGTGTTTTTAAATTCTTTAAATAAGTCCTACCAATCTTTGTAACACAGGTTTGAATCCGTTAGACTTATTATCAACTGCGCTATTCATGTATAATAATTCTTGCAATTTCTTTTTTTATTATTTCATATCAAAATAATCACGTTCTTTTTTTTTGTTATTCAAATTCATATGATAATATAATAATGAAAATAAACATTTTACAAAAAATAACAATAATACAAATCAGTTCCATCTTGTTATAACCGATTTAATCAGATATCTTCCCAATTTTCCCTTAAAAATGGCAGTACAGTTTGGAGACTGCTTCTACAATTTAGTAAATATTTGAGTTGGGTTACAATTTTACAAAGTGTATACTTTATACCCTTCATTTTTTTTATTGGTGTAAAAAATGTTTTATTTTGGGGCTAGGACAGGCTAATATTTATCTGAAGAAATATGTACAATTGAGATTAAGAATACAAATTACCTTGATCGATTCAATTAGATTAACAATCTTGACTTAAAATTTAACAATGAAAATTTAAAATAAAAATGAAGGAATTTGGTTGTCGATCTGACTTAAAAACTTGGCTTAAATTATTTATAAAATTTATAAAAATTATTTTTTTATGATATGTATCCCTAGATTTCCCCTATTTAAGAGGCTTTAGTTTAATAATATTAATATAGAATCATGTTTAGCTTATCTATTTAGAAAATGTTTATAAATTTTCAATTTTTTTAATGAGCCAGCCATAATGTCTGACATTTTTGAAAAATTATTTTTTTTTGCATATCAGTTTATCAAATGTCTATCTATCTAAAGCTCACATTAATAAACAATATTTTTTATTCATTATTATAATGAAATCTAATATATATTATAAATTGAAAATTTTTTTGTCTTGCCAAACAATTTTAATATATCAGATATGAGGGCTAGCAGTGCTGGTCAATATTTAATATATATTGTCTATTATGTTGATGATAAACACCATGAGACATGATAACTCTTTTGGGGCCCAGCTATGAAAATTTTCCTTGGGACCCTTAACTTTTATTATTTTTTTATAAGATAGTTTATTAATGAATCAAACAGGACATAATTGACTTAGAAATATAACATTATTTTAGAAAAATTAAGATATTACAAATATATAAAAGTATTTGATATCAATAGCTTAAGCGATTTTACACTTATAGGAGTAATGTAGCCACCTCTCTGGGAATATTATGAAAGGCTTATTCCTAAACTGGATAATGTATCCCAATATAAAAAATAAAATTTGGGTAATATCATTATCAGTTTTAATCTGTTTTTCCCTTTTGCAAAGAGGGTTAGTCTTTTTTCTTGCAGATTGAACCCTCCAAAGTCATTTATCAAATCCTCAATCAATTTTAAGTCTATATTTTACCTAGTGTTCTCATCAATGATTGACAAGTTATCAAAATCTGTCTCATTATTTAAGACCTCTAACAATGGGGATGAGTTCCCATTACTTCTTATGAAAGCTTTTAAGTTTTAACCTTAATAAAATTAGAAGATAAAATTTTCTTATAAAAATTAAAAACCTATATATTATCCAAATTTCATTTTGTTATCATCTAATACGGGTAGAAACTTTTCATAATATTCCTGGAGAGGTGGCTACATTACCTCTGATGATTTTTTTAAAAAAAAATTCTACATAAATTTTGGAATTTTCTGTTTAATTTAGTAAACATTTATTTTTTATAGGCATTGGTCAATAAATTGTTCCATTTTATTGTATCTATATTTTATTTTATTCATTGGTTTATTATTAAAAAACACCAAGGACATATAAAAACATTAACGATTATAAAAATATAGCGAATATATATAAAAATTTAAAAAAAAACAACTAAATAAAATTTAAAATAAAAAAAGTGATTTAAATAGCTATCGTAATGGCTTGTTTGAAATAGAAGGCTTCCTTACAATCGCCACTTATTTTCCTTAATTTTTTCTCCCTAATAATGTGATAAATTTAAGGAATTCCTCACCAAAAACACCAAGTGTATTGGTAATAAGTGGGATTAAAATTATGTTAGGCGACGTTTGAATTTTTGTTTATCTTCAAGATTTCGGCCGAATTAATTGCTGAGGCATTTCTGTTGAATTGTGTCTATAAATCGATTTTATAATTCCAAATTACTGGAAGATCAAGATGTTCAGCTGATATCATAGGATCTTCTGTTGTTGCATGATTGGGCTTGGTAGAGCTTGAGATAACTATTTATGTTTGTATGCCGTAGGAGGGGCCTTGTATCTCTAATGTAAAGGATGTTGTCCTATGGAATCGACAAAGGACAATTAATACAGTTAGAAGAAAGCGATATATCTCAACCAAGATGAAGCGAAATAACAATACGAAGTTCTTCATTAGTGAGAATTAAAAATATATATAGATATAATCATACTTCAACCAACCATAAACTTAACTAGATTCAAATATGAAAATCTGATAGAAGATAAGTTTTAATTAAAATAACTCGCTAATTTTTTTACCAACCAAATCAAGTATTAATAGATAAATGAAGACATTTACATTAAAGTCGAACAGAGAAAACGCTAAGTTAAAAAACAGATTTAGACTTAGGTAAAAAATGAATCTGAGAAAACACAAAATCTTTACTATTAATAAAATATTCCAGAAGAAAGTTATAAGTGAATATTTTACCTAAATAAACGATAGATAAAGATAATAACATTACTGAACTTTTACTTATTTTGAGTGAACCACTTGTTTCATTTTTGAAGAATGACATTTTAAAATGGTGTAAAACCATTATAATGAATACTATTAATTATATAGGTTTCCATTTCTCTCACTTGCTCAGAAATTTTTTATCAATAATACAAGCATCTATCTCCTGTAAGTAAGTATTTCCCCTTGTAATAAAAAAAAGGAAACATTGTTAACAAAATAACACATGCTATATATGTATGACTCTGACTGAAATACGGGATGGCCTAGCCCACCTCTAAAGTCTCTCCGATTCTATTCCAAGCACCTCTAAAAATAAATTATCAATAATAATTATTCAATAAAATAAAACCTAGGTTAAATTAGGCGTCAAGCATACATATACATAATAAGAATAAATTTTTAAAATAAAAATGAAATAATCAAGCCTTTTTTTTACTTAAGGTGTTTAAACCGGTCTTTGAGTTTCGGATCGGAATAATTGACTAATCAATTGAAAAGTTATTAGAACATTTGTAATTAGTAATCAATACCGCTTAAAGATTAATTATGATCAACTCTGCTATGAATATAGGCACATATAAAAAAAATAAATAAATGTAAACGCTTCCAAAAATTTATGTGGGGAGGAGAGAAAAAAATATATGTTACGACACTGGCTCTTTTGATCCAAAATATGCTATTAATTATAAATATACTATTTGTAATTTAATTTAGGCTCCTACAGTTATTTGAGTCTAGGAAAACATCATTTTTTAAAAATATTATTGACCTAAAAATGATAAATACCAGATAAAAATCTAATAATGTTTTGAAATGAAGTAACCATTTTATAAAAAAGGGCGTAAAAGTTGTGATATATACTTTTCCTTTAAACCTCTACCCCCCCCCCTCCTTTTTAAAAAGTCACGACAATTGGGATACGAACCGACGATCTTTGTATTATCAGCTAGACATCAATATTGCAGAACCACCTAGTCTATTAAAAATGTTTTTTATATATAAATATAAGTTCATTATGTTACGACTAAACTACATCATACAGGAATATGGTATAGCTACTACCTTAAAAATATATATTTAATAATAAAATTATTCTCGTTTTACACTACACTATATCAAGCAACTTGTTCATCTTATCAACTAATATATCAATATTTAAAGGCAAACATTTCATTTGATATATTATACTACAACACTCTTCAGAATTTGTAATTATAAAAAATTATTAATTTTACAATATTTTTTTTCAGATACAAATATCTGCCAAATCGGGTAGGTGGCGTCAGTGGATTTGGAGCTCCACCTGTATACCGCTCTGCGACTACTACGAGGGATAGCGAAAATGATACTAGTGGGGATATTACTTCCACTAGGCGAAGATATGCTTGGGGTCAGGGAAGGAGATTAGACGAATGAATATTCCTCCGCTGCTTTGATTTTATATAGTATTCCTGTTATTAAATTTGTCTAATAACACGTCTTTTCGATGTATTCGAACAATAGATTGTTTTTATAAGTAATTATATAGAAAAATAGACATTTTTGGGACCTATTTATATTTCGATCGCCAAATATTTTATTTAATTGTAAATAATAAATCAATTTTAAATAGATATGATAAAGTATTTGTAAATATATATTGAATAATGGGTCATAAATAATTATAAAAGTTTAATAGCTTTAGTCTAGATGGATTCTTAGTTATGGACTCTCAAATTCGAATACACGTGTTATCTCTGTTTTACTAATTTCAAATTATTCGATAAATATTTAGTCAAAATCTATATATTATTAACCCCTAAAATTCTCTTAAAAATATTTTTAAATTCTTATATATCGATGTATTTCCGGTAAAATATTCAGTTATTTTGATCTAGCCCCAATTTGGGAGGAAATATATTTAAGTAAGAACTATGGCATTGCCCTAGCCCAGCCTTCGGCTTGGGAGAGTGTAGCATGAAAATCACAAATGGCACGGAATCAGAGATAGTCATGAATCACAAATAGTGATGAGTAATAAATTGCATTTGACTGAGCATTATTAATTTTTCTAAAAATAAATAATATTTATAATATAAAGATTGGATAGGAAATTAAGTTCATTGGACATCAAATTTATTTTTGAATTTGTTGAATCTAAGCATGTTTCTAGATTTTCTCAAGATGGGAGCGTATAATATACTCCTTTTCTGCTTAATTTGAATATGAGTCCTCCATTTTGGTTTTTAAGACATCATTTTGTTAAAAAATTGAAATTGTTTCTAAGCTTTCAGAAGTTTTAAAGTTCTAATAAAATCATATGTTACTGTATTTTAAAATTTTCTAGATTTATAATTTGGACATTACAATTAAAAAAAGCTTATTTTTTCTTTAAAATTCATAAATAAAATTTCAAAAATTTGCGAGTCGTACTTTTTGATATTTTAAACTTTAGCTAAAATATATTTTTAAGCAGCTGATATTTGTAACTATGTGTAGCATGTGTAGTTAATTAATGCAAGTATCAATAAATTTATAAAAAATTATATATTAGTATTTAGGGTAATACTATCAACAATATTTAAAAAAGCGAAATCAATAATTAATATGAATTTGATACCTAAATCAAAATTAATATCTGAACTATCATCTAATGAAATTAGAGATGTATTCATGAATTTTTTTAAATCCAAAGGCCATCAATATGTTTATTCCTCATCTGTTGTTCCGCTAGATGATCCCACCCTTTTATTTACAAATGCTGGAATGAATCAAGTTATTTAAAATTTATTTGCTTCTAAAAATAATCTTTACAGTTCAAACCTATATTTTTGGGTAATGCTGATCCAAAAAGTGAGTTAGGAAAGTATATAAGAGTATGCAATACACAAAAGTGCATACGAGCAGGTGGTAAACATAATGATTTGGATGATGTTGGCAAAGATGTATACCATCACACATTTTTTGAAATGCTTGGCAATTGGTCTTTTGGAGATTACTTTAAAGTTTGCAGATATATGTTGTTTAATTAATGTTATATTTGTTAATTCTTGTTGTTTTTTGAATATATTATATATAGCTGGAGTTGGGCAGGCCATTTAAAAAAATAGAGATACATATTCTTTATAAATTATTTTATATAGACATACATATATTATTTAAAATATATGAAGGATATATAAGATGCTTGTATCTTTTAATAAATAATAGTATGATGGATGTCTTTTTATCAAAAATTAATTTTTTAATATTTAAATTATAATTAATAAAGATAAAATTGGATTTTAATAATCAATTTTTATAGAATATAAATATATAATTAGATAGAAAATTACTCTTTAAATTTACAATTATTAATATATATTTCATTTACGATTAAGTGATATCCTTAGCATCGAGTTAAAATATAATTACAATGATTAATATATTGAATAATTATATTGGAAATCAAATTTTTTCTGTATAATAAGCTATAAAGACAATGATGAGCTCAATAAAAATGCTTCAACATGCAAAATAAATTTAAAATCACCATGCTTTACCTATAATAAAGGAATGTTGTATGACTAAAAAAAGACAAGAAATAAATATATAAATCAATCACCAGATATATGATATAAAGAAATATGATCATATTATTTTTAATGAGTAAAAGAAAAATTCCATACAAATTAATAATATCAAATTCTTTTTTTAAAAAATATCTAAAAATTTTAGGCTTGGTATTTTTTTGGAGTAAAAATATCATTACACAATAAAAGATATAATCTAATTTTGTCAACAACTTATAAAATAATTGATATAAATATGAACAGGAAATCATAAGATTATATTATTTAATTTTCATATAACAATAAAGTTGGTATGCCAAATCTATAATAATTTTTAAAATTTATGAAGAAAGAAAAATGATTAATTCAAGAACCCATGAAAAAAAAAAGAAAATTGAATATTGATTTTAAAAAAGATAATATGGAAAAACATTGATATATCTTTTGGTAAGTAAAGGAAAAAAATATACAATTTTAAAAATAAAATACTTAGATTTAGATATAAGTATCATGAAAAATGCCAAAAAATACAAAGCACAAGATAAAAAAAACCCAACTCTATTTTTACAAGTGTTATTAAATAGTTAGAATTTTTAAAAATTGCTAACTGCCATGAGATTTAGTTAATAGATGTCCAAACTATTCTGTCATCTATGGGCATAATATGTGTATTATTTTTTGGTTAAAATATTGGGTTTGCCGTTTAAAAATTGAGTTGTTTACAACAATAGTATATACCTTGCTAATTATTTTATATTAATCAGATAAAAGTGAAATAAAACCTATGAAAGTATAAATATAAAAATAATTGAAATTGTTAACAAATTTTTTTATTAAAAAAAATTGCTATAATAAAGAAAGAAATTTGCACATGGGCTTGGGAATTATTAACTGAAGTATATAAGTTACCTAAAGAAAGATTATATGTAACATACTTTGGGGGTGATCAAGAATCAGGATTGAAGCCAGATTTAGAATGCAGAGATATATGGTTAAATTTGGGGTAATTATTATTATATATTTAAAATAGGATATTTATTAGTTTTGATTGTCATCTACTATTAACCTTGAATAGGGGCTAAACATAAGTTGGCCTAATCTAAAAATGTGTGCTGTAGTGAATCTGCTAAATATGAAACTCGAATTAATTTATATCCACCCTTTAATGAGCTATTTAAAATCAATTAGCAAACTTTACTATTTTAAATAATAATTATCAGAAGTCTATTGGTTAAAAATAATTAAGATAAATTTTTAAATGTACAATCATTTATGGTTCTTTTACTTATTAAATTTTTCTTATATGTTTGGATTATATAAACTTATATTATAATACTAATTACATCATAATTAGGGATTTATAGGTCCATTTTTTTGCATTGCCAAATAATCATAATGTCAATTAAAATTCATAGTTTAATGCATTAATACTAGCTAAAGATTCATTTATATAATGATTAATAGATTTAAGTTTATAGCTTATTCTAACTATAGATTTGGAATCTTTCATTTTTGAATCATTTATAAGGACGATTTTAAAATTTGAAAAATATGAGTATGCTAAAAATATATTATTATTATGAATATCAAACAATCATAAAAGTTCACAGTAAAGTTGTCTAAAATTCATAGAGTGAATGGAACTATACACATAATAAAATTAGATCAATATAAAAATTGTCGGTTTTTTTTACTATATTAATTACACACACAAACTCATAAAGTCTAAAATAAAACTTATTCAGATAAAAAATAATTAAATATTTTAATAAGAATATATAATATACAACTTTTCAGCAATCTACTTATTGACCCAGGATGGCTATTAAAAAAAATATCGATTTTAGTAGTATAGAGAAGTTCTATTTTTGAATGCAAATCTTATTTAAAATTTATAGGCCAAGCCTGACAATAAAATTTAGGTCCATACTAAGCATAAATATATATTGTATATGAGATAAAAATTGGCAACAAATAGCGTAAGTAATTTTCTCTCTGTTTTCCTTTATCAACTTATAGGCTGTTAATTAAAATTAAATTACAAGAAAATATAATATTTCTCACGTTTGATAAAAACACTTTTATATTCAATTTAACTTAATATATTTAATCTAAAAAAAATCTATAATATACATTAAATTAAGAAAAATAGATCATTGACATTTAAGTGGTATGTGTTACATAATGGCTTCAACAGCTGATTTTAAACCTAGATGCTTCAGTGTGAATACATCTTCAATGATTATAGCATTTATATCTTTATATCGTGATAATGAGACCTAATTTTGATGGATTGTATTCTAACATATGAATAAATGAATAACTACTACATTATCGGATCACACTGATTTTCTCCATACCATACAGCAGATACGCTTTTAATCAGAGTTTGAAAAAAAATTATCTTTGCATTTATTTAAAATAAAATTTATGATTTAATTTTGGAAAATTTCTTTATACACGAAAACAAAATTTGTTTATTGTATTCAAACTCTGCTTTTATTGCATCAATCATCAGTCTATTATCTTAATTTTTTAATCGACCACACAAAGTTAGTCCGTTTTGGCAAATAGAACAAATTTTGATGATATTCATTTTTATATCATGAGTATTCCTGAGAGAGACCAAACAAAATTGGCCATGCTAAAAAGTGGTCATTTTTTGAGGTTCTATGGTTTGTAAAGTAAAATTAGCAATTAATGCCACCAAAATTTGCCTAATCAATCAAAATTCACTAATAATGTTCCCAGAATAGAGAATCACAAAGTCCTTCCCGGCAGTATGAAGGATAACTTTTGGGAGATGGGAGATACTGGCCCTTGTGGGCCTTGTTCTGAAATACATTACGATAGGCTTGGTATGGTCGATGCTTCCCACTTGGTTAACAAAGATGTTCCCGAAGTTTTGGAAATATGGAACCTGGTTTTCATACAATACAACAGGTTTATCAATGAAAAACAAAATTAGATAAAAGATTGAGATTAAGAGAGCAAAGAAAAGCGGAATTAAAATTATTTGTCTTATAAAAAATAACGTTACGGTTAGTCTAGGGAAATTTTTGGGTTTCATTTTATATTTTAAATTGATATGATTTAATCCGACGACTATTTTGACTCTAGATATTTTTTGAAAATCGACTAAAGATATTTTTTTGATATTGGACCAAACACCGATTTTACAAATAGATCCCCGTACAACATAATGAATTTATCATCTCCACCCTTTCCAAAAAAGGAAAAGAAATTAATTTCCTTTGTTATCACATTTTTTTTTATTTTTTATCGATATTAATTTTATCTCAAAAAACCGGTTAAAATCAGGTGCCTAGAATAAAAGCAGTTTACTTAATGACGTACCCCCAGAAGTTTGATTATAGGTCTCTAGTTTATGATTATGATTGGCAGGGAATTCTAAGATTGGTTTATTTTTAGATGTTAAGGAGCAAGCCTTTCACATTTTAAATATTTTCTATCCCCTCCTCCACTTCAAGTAAAAAAAATCGAGATGCATAATTGTGATTTAATTTGTATATTGTATATCGCAGAGAAGCTGACGGTAAATTAGTCGTACTTCCTAAAAAGCATATCGATTGTGGCATGGGATTTGAACGTCTCGTCTCCGTTATACAAAACAAACCCTCTAATTACGATACCGATCTTTTTACAACTATATTCGATCAAATCCAACAAGTTTTATTTTTTTGATGATTTGATAATTAACTCACAATGCTGCTTGGTTCATATGTTAATTACCCTTACTTTTTTTAAAGCCGCGAGATCTATTATTCACGCGTGTGAAGAGAGTCAATATTTTCGATTTAAACGTGTTCAAAAAAATATTCAAATTAAATTTAGGCCCACTGCGACTCTTTTCATATGAATAAAAGTGCTTAAAAAAAATTAATTGATAATACATGCCTCAAGCATATGAAAAACAACAAAGCTAGGGGTCCAGACGATATTCCAATAGAAAGCCTTAAAGCACTAGGAGATGATGGAATACATCTCCTCACAAATCTGTACAATAAAATACTTGGAAATGAAGAGGTTCCCCAAAAATGGAGGAAGAGCTATCTAGTTCCTATCTTCAAAAATAAAGGGGATCCACACATTTGTCAAAATTACAGGGGCATAAAACTAATGTCACACTGTCTAAAACTATACGAAAAAATAATAGAAAAAAGATTAAGAGATATAATCGAAATAGGAGAGACACAGTTTGGCTTTATGCCTGGAAGATCAACAACTGATGCTATCCACGCAATTAGGCAAATGAGTGAAAAATACAGGGAAAAGAACAAAAAGCTACACATGGTCTTTCTCGATCTAGAAAAGGCCTTCGATAGAATCCCAAGAAAACTTATCTGGTGGGCGCTACGCCACAAAAAAGTTCCCGAAAAATATATAAGAATAATAGAGGATATGTATATGGGACATACAACAATGGTCCGTAGCACAACAGGTACTTCAGCAGGCTTCACAATAGCCGAAGGAGTTCATCAAGGGTCGGCTCTCAGCCCACTTCTCTTCATTACAGTAATAGATGTATTAGCACAGTCTATACCTCAAACAGTCCCGTGGAATATGATATTTGCAGATGATATTGTGATACTTGCCGAATCCAAGGATGAAATGAAAGAAAGGTTAGTGAATTGGATAAATATCCTAGAAACTCACGGATTAAAAGTAAATAGAGAAAAGACGGAGTATATGGTGATAGGAGGAGATGAAACGGAGAGTATTGATATAAATGATTGGCAGATATCCGCAATTGAAAGCTGCAAATATTTGGGCTCCACTATACAAACAAACGGCACAATAGAAAAAGAGATAAAGAATAAGATTAATCAAGGGTGGTTAAAGTGGAGATCTTTATCTGGAGTGCTATTTGACAAAAGAATCCCACACAAATTAAAGGGAAAAATTTACAGTTCCATAGTACAACCAACTATTCTATATAGTTCGGAAACATGGCCAACCAAAGAATCAGACGAGAGAAGTCTACAAACTATGGAGATGAGAATGCTGAGGATGATTGCTGGGGTAACAAGAAAGGATAAGGTGCGCAGTACAAGAATACTAAATAATTTAAAGGTAGTGCCCATTAAGACTAAGTTAATGGTAGACTTAGGTGGTATGGGCACACAATGAGAAGGCCTATGAACTACATAGGAAATAAAGTTGAAAAATTGGAAGTGACGGGCAAACGTAAAAGAGGAAGGCCAAAACTTCAATGGGGCCATAAAGTTAGAGCCAATATAAAGAAGTATAAAATAGATAAAAGAGATTGTACGAATAACATAAAGTGGAGAGAGATGTTGAAGGAGCTTACCACCAGAAAAGGTGAAAGCTAAAGAGAAAAATTTTTTTTTTATAAAATACAATGAAACCTCCTATAAGGTAAATTCACGTTTTTGAAGATCATTTATATATTTTGGGGGTTGTTGGGACCAAGCGGCAAAATCAGAATTTTTAAATTTAATAAAAAATGCACTAAATAAATGATTTTGATTTGGAAATTGGCAAAATAATTTGCTGAGCCCCTTTTTAAATATTGAAGATTCGATTTTTGCAGGAATTTATTCCAATATAATGTAGAATACTTATCCTATAAATTTCAGACAATTTCGTCATGTATCCTGTTTTAAAATTTATATACTAAAATTGCACGTATTGACGGAAATATCAAATATTGACCGTTATCGTCGGCTGAATATTATAGTATAATTTTTTTTCTCTCTTTAGCTTTCACCTTTTCTGGTGGTAAGCTCCTTCAACATCTCTCTCCACTTTATGCTATTCATACAATCTCTTCTATCTAATTTATACTTTTTTATATTGGCTCTAACTTTATGGCTCCATTGAAGTTTTGGCCTTCCTCTTTTACGTTTGCCCATCACTTCCAAACTCTCAACCTTATTTCCTATGTAGTTCATAGACCTTCTCATTGTGTGCCCATACCACCTAAGTCTGTTTACCATTAACTTAGTCTTAATGGGCACTACCTTTAAACTACTTATTATTCTTGTACTGCGCACTTTATCCTTTCTTGTTACCCCTATCATCCTCAGCATTCTCATCACCATAGTTTGTAGACTTCTCTCGTCTGATTCCTTGGTTGGCCATGTTTCCGAACTATATAGAATAGTCGGTTGTACTATGGAACTGTAAATTTTTCCCTTTAATTTGTGTGGGATCCTTTTGTCAAATAGCACTCCAGATAAAGATCTACACTTTAACCACCCTTGATTTATTTTGCTCTTTATCTCTTTTTCTATTGTGCCGTTTGTTTGTATAGTGGAGCCCAAATATTTGCAGCTTTCAATTGGCGATATCTGCCATTCATTTATATCAATACTCTCTGTTTCATTTCCTCCTATCACCATATACTCCGTCTTTTCTCTATTTACTTTTAGTCCGTGCTTTTCTAGGATATTATCCAAGTCACTAATCTTTCTTTCATTTCATCCTTGGATTCGGCAAGTATCACAATATCATCTGCAAATATCATATTTCACGGGACTGTTTGAGGTATAGACTGTGCTAATACATCTATTACTGTAATGAAGAGAAGTGGGCTGAGAGCCTATCCTTGATGAACTCCTTCGGCTATTGTGAAGCCTGCTGAAGTACCTGTTGTGCTACGGACCATTGTTGTATGGCCCATATACATATCCTGTATTATTCTTATATATTTTTCGGGAACCTTTTTGTGGCGTAACGCCCACCAGATTAGTTTTCTTGGGATTCTATCTAAGGCCTTGATCGAGAAAGACCATGTGTAGCTTTTTGTTCTTTTCCCTGTATTTTTCACTCATTTGCCTAATTGCGTGGATAGCATCAGTTGTTGATCTTCCAGGCATAGATCCAAACTGAGTCTCTCCTATTTCGATTATGTCTCTTAATCTTTTTTTCTATTATATTTTCGTATAGTTTTAGAAAGTGTGACATTAGTTTTATGCCCCTGTAATTTTGACAATTCTGTGGATCCCCTTTATTTTTGAAGATAGAACTAGATAGCTCTGCCTCCATTTTTGGGGAACCTCTTCACTTGTTCTGTTATAGGTTGTACAAGATTTTGACATGGAGAGTGTTCGTCTAGATGTAGTATGGTGGGGATTAAAGTTGAGAAGCTCCTGAAAATATCCTTTCCATCTATTCATTATTTCTTTTTCCTTTATTATCAATTTTTGATTACTTTCGGAGCTTTGTTTATATCCCTAGAGTTCTTTTCTCGCTGTTTGGCTAATCTGTATATTTTATTTTGCCCTTCTTTGGTATGTAGTTCTTCATACATGTCATCGTATGCCATAGATTTGGCCCTAGCCACCGCCTTTGTAGATATTCTCTTGGATTTTTTGTAAATTGTCTTGTCATCTGAGTTTTTGGATTTGAACCATATTTTATATAGGGCTTTTTTCTCTTTTATAGTGGTTTGTACCTCTTCATTCCACCACCATAGTTTTTTGTATGATTTGTTGCCTCCCCTTATCAAGCCTAGTGTCGATTTGGCAGTGTCTATTAATCTGGATGAAAGATCTGTCCACATTTTTTCACTGATTTGTGAGGAATCTATTGTTTCAATGTTTGCATTGATTGCAAAGGCATCTGTCATTGTTTCTAATTTGCCCCATTTGATGCATGGTTCCAGTTTTATCTTGTTTTGAGTGGATTTATTTGAGATGTGTAAATCCATGACTAGTAGCTTGTGTTGTGCGGCGATATCTTCTCCTGGTATGACTTGCAGTCTATTACATCTTTTAATCTTCTGCGAGAGATTAGCATGTAATCTATCTGTGTTTTCCTTGTACCACTTTCGTATGTTATTAAATGACTGTCTTTTTTCCTATAGTAGGTGTTGGTTAAGGCAAGGTCGAAGGCTTGCACAAATTTCAGTACGTGCTCTCCTTCATCATTTCTTTCTCCATATCCAAAACCACCATGATGCCTTTTGTAGCTATCTCTTGCTTTCCCTACATGCGCATTTAAGTCACCACCAATTATGACTAAGTCATCCTTAGGGATTTCCATTACAGCTTCATCAAGGATAGCTCTAAAGTCATCTTTCTCTTTTTCCTTGCAACCCGTTTGAGGAGCATATACTGAAAGGATGTGTAGTATTGATTGACCAATGCATAGTTTTATCTTCATTAGTCTATCAGAGATCCTGTTGACTTCTACTACTGAGGAGGTTAGATCTTGACTGAGGATGATGCCGACACCGTTCCTATTGCTAACAATTCCTTTATAGTACAATTTATACCCATCTCCAATCATTAAAGTCTTCTGACCTTTCCATTTCGTCTCTTGTATGCACGCTATAACAACTTTTCTCTTGTTCAACATTGATGCCAACTCTCTCGTCTTACCTTTAAGCGTCCCAATATTCAAACTTGCTAATCTTGTCTTCTTTGCTTTGACCTTTACTTTACTTTTCATAGGATGGAGGTCTACACCCTGCGCGTCACTTGGAGGGAACGCCCTAGCTTTCATATTCATATTTCCATTTGTTTCCTTTATTTTGTTTATTGGACAGGTATCCTTAGCACCCGGCTGTCCAGGTCTGTCGGTGACCAGGGTGTCATCTCTAAGCTGCGTAATTCATCTTACCATATGTCTAGTCTAAGCACATCAGTCATCGAAGAAAAACTTGAAAGTTTTTATGCTCCTTACCAGTATTGAACCTTCGTCCTTCTTCTTCCTTCTGTTTACAAGCATACATCTAACCCATTAGGCCACCACGGCGATAATATTATGGTATAATATATCCGTATTTTTGTAAAATTTAATTTTTTTTATAACATCAAGAATTAAAATAAATCTAATTTAAGAATAATCCTTTATTTGCATTATTATAGTGTGATCTATTAAAATACAAAAAGAATATTTTTTTAGAAATGGAAGAACACAGTAATTTTCAGCTAACGATATAATATTTTTTTAGAAATGGAAGAACACAATAATTTTCAGCCAACGATATAATACTATATATATACATTTACAAGAAGAAAAGTATTTAAAATAGGTTTTGATAAAACCAATCACTGAGTTTAATTACCACTTAGTCGATTTTTTTTTCTCTTTAACTTCTTACAACTAAAAGGTATACTAGTTATTATATAATAATTAAATTTGCTTATCAGAAATTGAACATACGACCTTATACGGGCAAGGTCAAAAGTGAGGACGTAGACGGAATAGATATGGCCTACAGAGTCATAGCAGATCACGTTAGAACGCTAACTATAGCTTTATCGGATGGAGGCAGACCCGATAATGTTGGAAGAGGGTTAATTATTTTGAGTATATAAATACTTATTGATTTAATCTGTGTATTTAAATTTTCTGATTTTTAAATAAAAATTTAATTGTTCCACTATTTCGTTTTAGTAAGAATATATCAATTTTTAATATTTTCCTCATTGATTTAAAGATATGTTCTGCGGAGGATTCTAAGAAGAGCGATAAGGTATGCCAATGAAAAATTAAATGCGCCAACTGGTTTTCTTTCTAGCCTAGTTCCTACCGTAGTGCAAAATTTACAATCAGTTTTTCCTGAAATTGCCAACGAATATGACACAGTTCGTATATTTTTTTTAGATACATCTTAAATTAAATTAAATTTAAATTTCCTTGCAGATATTTAATATAAAATATAGCTTAACGTTGAAGAGTTATTTTTTCGCAATTTGAGCCAATTTATTTATAAGACTATAAATTACGATGCCTCCACAAGATGGTCACTCAAGGTGGTTGGTCTACTTAAAACCTTAAAACAATTTTGATAAGATCACCTTTTATATAGAAGTTTGAATGATGCTTATCTTAAAAGGTTAAGATAGGGTTGTCACCTATAAATCTGTATAAAATTTAAATAACGTTTATCGGTTAAAGACATAGTATATATTTGCAATTATTATACGATTAAATATTTTATATCTTGCCAAAAAAATTAATACTTAGAAATTGCAAAATATTTTATATAATATCAGTTTGAAATGCTCTTCAAAATTTTGATCCCTCAAGATTTTTTTTTAAAACTAAGTAATTTATTCTACAATCTAATAATGATATTTGACTATTTTTTTAAAAAAAAATGCTTAATATTTATAGACGATCGAGATAATTGATGACGAAGAAACGCAGTTTATCAAAACATTATCTAGGGGCAAGAAATTATTGCAGAGTACGATCAAAAACTTGCCCATAGGAACTGAGCTCGGTTTAAGAATATTGCCTGGTTAGATTAAAAAATATATATAATAAATAATATTAATGTTTATTCTTAAAACGTGATTGTAAAGTATTTTTTTAAAAATATAGAGGGTTCAATTTAACCCCCTTAGTTTTTTTTTCTTAAATTTTGGAAAAAATAATTAAATTTTATTTCACAACTTTGTTTATTTTCGGATATATAGACCCTTTAAAAAAATGAAAATTAATAAAATTCATGCCATTTATTATCAAACATCTCATATAATAATCAAGCTAGAGTAGTGATTTAAATTTGGTTATGTCACTTTAATAATCGTTCTTCAAATAACATGACAAGTAAAATTTAATATAATAAAAATCAGATTAGAGATTAATAATTTTAAAAAAAAACTATAAATAGAAAACTGATAATAGGACATCACAATATGCATTTTTTTTTACAAGTAGATACTTGACTACTTTTATAATTGTATTAATGTAGGGCCTGCAGGTCTCTGAGAAATATGTAATATCTTTCCAAAATTTAGAAAAATGCAAGTAATATTTAGTCATCTTTAGAAAATAAATTTTAAATCGGGACCGAGGTATGCTCTTACCGAATTTAAGAGAATCTCCATCCAAGTTTGGCCTGATCGGATAACCGTAATTTAATTCACGAAAAGTGAACTTAAAATCAATATAGTAATCATGAAGGACTGGGCATTTATTAAATTTAATATTAAACATATCAATCAACAAAGGCGACGTTGCCTGGAAGTTATACGACACTTACGGGTTTCCCTTGGATTTGACTCAGCTCATGGCGGAGGAACAGGGTATAAGCGTCGATTTAGTTGGGTACGAAAAGATGAAACAGTTAGCTGTGGTAAGTTTTTTTTAAAAAAATCATTTTATTTTATCTTTGTTTAATTTAAATTAATAAATATTTGACTATAAATAGTTATATGTATAACCCTTAACAACATTTATTCTGCTGGACATTGAATTAATAAGATTTCCGCATTTTTTTGAAGATCCATCCTAATAGTATTTTTATGATACTCCATAAGTTTCAATTAGGTTAAAATCATGACTCGATACTGACCACTCTAGAACATTAATTCTTTTATCAAGTAGCTATTTATTAGGCGATTTCGTCATATGACTAGATATTTCATCTTTTTAAAGACGCACATGTTTTTCAGGAAATAAGATACGGCTGATTGGGCTAAGTTGCTGATCAAATATCTTTTAACAAGGCAAGGCTTCCAACACTCCTTCTGAACCCATAATTTTTAAAATATAAACAATTTAGGTGAGTGGCTTCATTCTTGGTTCCGATTCCACCATCCTTAACCATACAATATTTTATTACCCCTGATAGTAATAAAAGTATTATTACTATTATCATGATTATTAAACTGGATTCGTTAGATAAGATGACGAGTGTATTTCGTTGTTGTCGGGTCCCATTCGAGAATTAAAAAACCCATCATAATTGTTTCTTTTTCTGGTTCATAATGAATGGTTTTTTTAATAACTTAGGTTAAAAATTATTTAAAGGACATTAATAACAAAAAAATATTCCATATAAAAATGGAAATTCTTTTTTTTTTTGAATTCTGATTTTCCATGTTGTTTGAAAGATATTTTTTTTATAATCAACTTCTACTCATACTAATGAATCCTGGCAATTGGCATGACATTTTTCGAATTATTTTGTTCAAAACACGCCTGTGGAATTTAATTATTATTCCTTTAAATTTAATATAGGACTGTGCCGATCTACAAATTTTTCACCGATCCGATATTTACCTATATTATTAAATTTATATTGATATTTATTTACCATCTATCTTTGAACCAATGTTTATTTTCTATTTTTAAAACAATTAACTTTCACAAATAATTAGTGTATTTTGTTATTTTTATTCCCCAAAAGCTAATAATCTCATTTAAAATATTTGCAAGGTTTATGGGTGAATCTGTAGTGTTGTTAAATTTGGCCAATTTAAAAAGGACTAAATTAAGATTTCAACCAAAATATTATTACCTAAGTCTCGAAATTTCACCAAATACAAGTTCTAACCTTTCTGCACTCTGTTGGTATAAGCTCGAGTAATTCACTATTGGCCAAAATCTTGAGTTAATCGTTTTTAAAAATTGACTAAATCGAGTCGTTTAACAACACAAGCGGAATGTGACTTAAATGGATAACAGATGTTCAAAAAATTTATGTTTCCCTCATATTTATCAATTATTGACTTAGGTATTAATATTTGATTCATTATTCGAACTAATTTAACTTTTATTTTAAAATTAATTATCTAACATCAGCTAAAAGTGAAAAAAGTCTATTTTTGTTAATCTCTATTATTTCAGGTAACATAATTGCTAATGAGCTCAAAATTTTGATTTTAATATAACTAGGACATATATAACCTGCTTATAAATTCTTATCTATATTGAAACGAGTCGGCCGAAAATTTAGATTTTCTTGATCATTTTACATGGATGTCCCAATGATTATTTTGCACAAATTATAAATGTTATTTTTATTACCATAATGATTACACTTGCCTAAACATGAACTATTTGAATATTAACTCCCAATATTCTTAAACTTTATAAAATCTTAAAACAATAATGAACAACAAGCAAATATCTCAAAATAAAGCAGGGGGTTCCGAAGAGAAAATCAACGATCTGAATGTTCACGATATGAGTTATTTGAGGCAAATGAATATTCCGTACACAAATGATCGGTTCAAGTATGATTATCAAACATCACCAGTTATTCATAGCAATTCATCTAATCTACTACAAGATGCAACAGTTGTTTATAGTAATAAAAAAAACTTTTCTATTTTTTGAAAGGATAAAATCTTAATCTTGGGATAGGGCTTTCTTCCTTTTACTTAAAATACAAGCCTTAAATTTAACATTTGTAGTTTAAACATGGCTTACATAGGGCCTATGGCATATCTAACTAACCTTAGTTTCACGTCAGTTTTGCTAAATTTTGTTACCTTCTTAAAGATCAATCCCACAATCCTTTTATAAATGTATTTCTCTTAAATATTATAAATTTTAATTCAATAATATCAGATTTAAAAAATAAATAATAAATGATTTATATCAATATAATAAACCTCAAGAATTCGAACCTATAACCGCTAAGATCTTGGCTATAAAGCGTTTTCAGTCCAATACCGAATCAACGGGTCACCATTGCTTCATCGATATTATAGGAACCGAATCTGAAGCTAACACGCATAAAGGTTCTACAATCACCAATGGTCATGCGCCAAACGAAAATATGAGAAATAAAGATTATAATAATAACGTGGCTTTGTTACTGGACTCAACTAATTTTTATGCAGAATCTGGTGGTCAAATATACGATACAGGATTTATCAATAAAGAAAGCGGGGAAGATGTAAATTAATTAAAATCTCTCAATTAAGTCACCCACGGTTAGGGGGAGAGGTATTGTGGCCAACATGTATAACCGTTTTTTCTAAAAGAATCCAATACATTAGTAAACTTTTAGAGTAGGTGATTTACATTATGGCAATTGACATCAAACATTTCATCTTATGATTTTTTAAGTTTTGAGAAGATTTCAAAATGTCCTGGAGCCAGTTCTTTATGGCTCGGTTTGGCTCATTATTTTTCAGAAAATATTTACTTTATGAGTTCACACTTTTAGATATGAAGGAAATCTCAAATATTTTGAAGAAAACAGTCTATTTAGCTTTTCGCGGATCTGAGTTTTTTTTTACCTAGCCAGACGGTAGAATTAGTCAAACACCTATAGGTGACTATTTCAGTATAAAATTTACAAATTAACTTGCAAGAATTAGATTTATTTGAAACTTTTATTTTGAGAGGTATTAAATCTTCCAACTTTTAAGCTATACCCTTGATTTTAATATTTTGTCATTTTTTTAAAAATTTTATGCTATAGGAGGCTGAATTTGTTGTGAAAAATACTCAATCTAAAGGTGGTTATGTCATACACGTGGGCGATTTGGAAAAAGGATGTTTGAAGGTCGGAGATTTAGTCAAACTTTACATAGATGAGGTATAATTTTTTCAACTATAAGGTTTTAAAAAATTAGTAAGTTAATATATTTTGCTAATGTTATTTAGTTTTTATTATATTGTACAGCGCCGTAACTATGGATTTTAACTTGGAAGGGGGAGGGTGTACTAAAATTTAGCGTATTTTGATCAGTAAGAGGCTTCACAAGCACCTGGGGTAAATAACAAGTGGGAAGCCATGAAGAAATCCTGATTGAGGACATATGTGGATGGAAAAGAGGGCTGTCTAGACATAAGAAGACATGGTGGTGGAATTAGGAGGGTGCGAAAGCTGTGAACGAGAAACAGAAATGTTACAAAAATGGTATAACAGTGAAATTAGTGATGAAGATATAAAGAAGGCGAAAAGAAATCCCAAGAAATCAATAGCGAAAACGTAAGATGATCAAAGGCAGAGGTTTGCTAAAGACATAGAATGCGCGGGTAAGAGGATATATGGTTAGGATCGCAAAAAAGAGACAAAATGTAATAGGCGTTAAATGCCTGAAAATTATGGAAGGATATGAATGATAGTATAGGAATTAAGAATATCTTACATGGAAAAATTTTTGAACGAAGAGAATGGATCGGATAATGAAATTAGTTGTGCAAAAGTAGAACGTCTAGAAGTAGGTTTATCAAGGATGAAATTACGATAGCGTTTAAAAGATGCAACAAGGGAATGTAACGGGTTTAGCTAAAGTGGAGAAATGTTTAGAGGCTCCTGATGACTTGGGAAAATTTAATTGTCACACAAGGAACTATTCCTGAGGATTGGTGAAGAAGTATAATTATTACAAAATATACAAAGGGAAAGGGGATCCTTTTGATTACGGGTCTTATAGGGCTATTAAACTCTTGGAACATGCTATGAAAGTATTTGAGAGGGTACTAGAGAAGCGGAGGGAACAAACGAAAATTTATGAAATGCAGTTTGGTTTTACATGAGTGAAGATAGTCATTAAGGAAATCAGGTGTGGAAGAATGGTTGAAGGGTCAGGCAATTATGGAAGAAGTTCAAAGAGATGTCGTCTATTCTATCTAACAATTAAAAATTTCTCTGAAGTTAAAGGGAAAAGTTTGCGTAATCTGTGTAAAGATTTCTTTAGTTTATGTCGATGAAACTGACTCACGAAGCTAAATTGGAAAGAACAAAGATGAAGATGGTTAGGGTGTGGGGTACCTCTGAGAGAGAGAAAATAGCAAGGAATTGCAAGCAATCAAGGATAGGAATAGAAATGATTTTTATGGTAATGAGAAGAAATAGTCTAAGATGGTTTGACCATGTGGAACACAAGATAAAAGATGACTGGTTAAAAGATGTATCTTGATTTAAGTAGGAGGATCAAAATCTCGAGGAAGGCCTAAAATGACGCTGATAAAGGTGATAGTGATACAAAAAACGCAAATTTGCAATATTTAATGGGCTGGGGCAGAAATTTGGTCCTGAACACAAAAAAGATGTTTTATGAATCTATTTTTAGCAACTAATTTTTTTAAGGAAATTATAAATTTTATAAGATTTAGCTTAAGAGAATAGACTCTCAGAGACCATTTACATATCCTGCTCATGTAAATTTTTTGACGAGTTTTATATTTTTTCTGCCTGGTCGGTTATAAAATAATTAATTTATTGGTAATATTAATTTATGGATATAAATTGAAGGATAGACGAAGGCTTATAATGAACAACCACACAGGAACCCACGTTCTCAATTTCGCTTTACGCGATGTATTAAAAGAAACCGAACAAAAAGGCTCTTTAGTCGCGCCCGACAGATTACGATTTGATTTTTCTGTCAAAGTAATTCACAATTTATTTAAACGCCTAGTTCATTTGATTTTTTTGGCGTTGCTTATGGTTATCTTATCTTATTATTTTCATACAGCTTTTTAAGATATATAGATGTTGATAACTTAGCAAGGATAGGCATTAACATATACTAATGCATATGCATTTAGCAAGGGTGGGCGACATATCGATAAATTACATTTTTTTAAATCATTATTTTTAATTAACCCTCTAAAATAAATTCCCTAAAACACCCCAAAAGATTTTCAGTGGATTAGACTCTTACTATCCTCGGGAATGCAATACACTTTGACTAAAAAACGTTCTATTTTAGGTTGATAGCAAATAATAAAACGTATCATAATAATATAAAAAAATAGATTCATATTGCTTTATTGCGCATTGTGAATCTGTCGCATATCTAAAATTTAACATTATTTAAGAGTATAACAATACATTTTTATATAAAATATTTCTTTTATCTCTATTCAATGGGATAATGAACTTCTGTCTTCTAAAAAAAATTAACAGGGAAAGTAATTTTATTTAGAAAATACACATTCGAAATGTTGACCAAATATTTTAGAATTATAATATGGATAGCTGGCTTTTGACAAAATTAATATTAAAAATAAATAAAAAATATGTGTATCTAAATACATACTACGTATAAGCTGTAAAAAGAATTATAATAGTTACACCTTTTTTGTAATATGTGTATTCAAATATAAGGTGCGAAATAGAGGGTTAGTAAAAGTTATTAAATATAGCTTTTTAATTAAATTATCTTACCATTTTTTTACATGTAAATAGTCCCCCCTGACAACTCAACAACTAAAGATGTTGGAAGACATTTGTCGAGATGTGATAGATAAAGATTTATCTGTTTACGCTCAAGAAGCGCCACTACAATTAGCTAAATCTGTTAAAGGAGTTAGAGCCATATTCGACGAAGTTATTGTTATGCATTTTAACGACCATTAATAGTTATTAAAATAAATATAAAAGTTAAAAAAATATATTATTATCATGATGGAAATTAGTGATCTGCATCGGGCCTAATTTTTCAAGCCCGACCCAGCCCGAAATTTTTTTAAAAAAGTTTTAAAGGCCCGGCATGAACCCGAATTTTTTTATAAAAATTAACCGATTCGCCTCGGCCCGTATTTATTTTAATATATAAATTAATTTTTATAATTACTCAAAATAAAAGACATATGTTATATGTCGTTTAGTTTCAATAAATAAAATCAAATATTTTTATTTTACATAAAAAATTCAATATAAAATTGATAAATTTAGATATATTTAAAACAATTCCAAGGTCTGACCCGACCCGGCCCGAATTTTTTTAAAAATATTAGGCCCGGCCCGAACCCGTTTATTTTAAATAGAATTAGGTCCGAGCCCGACCCGTTCGGGCCGGGTCTAACTCTGCAGATCTCTAATGGAAATTATTAATTTATATCGCCTATGAACATTGTAAATAAAATGAGAGATTAAGTTTAAAAAATTTTTTCTTTTATTTCAATTTGCAATTGTTATGCGATTCCCAAATACTTTAGTTATTAAAAATTACATAAAAAAATTCTATTTAAACCATGTTAAATTAATTTTAAACGTATTAAATAATAACATAAAGATTCTATGATGTATATAAAATTTGTAGTAATTATTTTTATATTTTATAAAGGCCTATCCCGACCCCGTTAGAATAGTTTCTATAGGTATTCCGGTCAAGGACCTCGTCGAACAGCCCACTGGAAATATGGCATATAAATATTCGGCCGAGTTTTGTGGCGGAACGTAAAAATAAATTTTTTATTAAGTCATTTAAAAACATTGTTAAATTAGATATTATATAATGTACCAAACATTATATTTGTGTTAAATTGTTAGAATTCCTCCCTAAAAGGTTAAAACTGTTAAATGCGTTCTTAAAATTATAATATAACGGGGAAGCTTATTGAAATTTATTACACTATTTTTTGTCAATTGATTTTAAAAAAAATTTGACTGCAAGAAATATATTTGTATCAAGAAACCCTTTATTATTATTCTTATGAAATAATATAGAAAATTTTATTTTTCACATTTAATAAAATGAATAAATTTTGAAAGGCATTTATTTAGTAGTGGACATATTGAAAATATGGTCATAACTCAGGAAGAATCTTTGGCCAAAGGAATAAGAAGAATTGTTGCTTTGACTGGCAAAGCAGCTCACCAAGTACATCATGTTGTTTTCATATTTATTATTTTATAAAATTTTCTTAGATGATGTTATATATTTTTTTAAATTTTTATCATTTCCAAACTTTCTGAATTAATTGCAACTTTCTATCTACGAATTAATATTTTTAATCATTATTGGATGGTATACGTTGTTTTCATTCCTGCCAATACATACAGTCATGTATATATTATGTATTCTATTAATTTATTTTTATATCCATATGATTACAGTAAGTTATCTTTTTATTTATTATAACCTTGTCTCTTATATGAATATGGACATTTTCCTCAACTAACATTTTGAATTTGGTTTTCTCATAACATATGACCTGCCAACTTATTATATGTATCAACACATTTATTCCTATTGCGACCAATATTAATTACATGATACCTGCGACTCACTAATATTTCCATTTTATCCACCCTCATTTCGTTTTTCATCATTCAAGTTACTGATTCATAGAGGATAGTAGGTTGTATTGCTTAGTTGTTTAATTTCTCCTTGGATTTTAAGGATATAGGTGAAGATAATTGATGAAAAAATTTTTAAATTTCATTTTATGGAAAGGTTTTGGGAACGTAATTTGGGAAAAATTATAAAACTCTAAATGAAGAAACAGTAATCATTTTAAAGTTTCCTGAATAGTTCCAGCACGTTCCGAGAAATATAAAATTTTAATTAACCTTTTTTTATAAGCAATAAATACGGTATTTAAAGGCTCATTCATAAATATTCATGTTCCGAGAATTATAAAATTTTAATTAATTTTTATAAGCAATAAATACGGTATTATAAAGTCTCATTCATAAATATTCATTTTTCTGTCTTTAATTCCAGTTTGTTAAATCACAATGTTATCTAGTAATATATGTGATTTTAAGATTATACTAATATTTTTTTAAAAAATCAAATTTAAAATAATTGTAACTATTTACGAAATTGATATTATATTAGCAAAAGTTTTTTTTAAATTTAAAGTTGATTAATTGATCTGGTTTAAATCTCTTTAATAAAAATTAATATTTTACCTCCAACTTTTTAAAACTACTCTATTATTGTATTAATAATTTAAATTGAAAATATATGCAACTTTATATGGGGAAATTATTATCAAATTGAACCTACATAAGATATAAGAAGTATATTCTATAATGGATTTGGAGATATCATAATTATTTTCCTCCTCCATCTAAGTCAAAAATATATAAGTAAAACTAAATTGAAATTAAATGTTCCTAAATATCTTAACATTGTTTTGATTAATCACAGATTTTTCTTAAAAAAATTAAAAAACCATTTTACTAATTTTGTTTTATTATAAATTCAATATCCTATACATAAGGCCATTCAAAGGAGCCAAAAATTAGAAAACATTTTAAACAATCTGTGCAACGAAGTTAAAGATTTTATCAATACATCCGGGCCGCAACCCTGCAACATGATTTACAAAACTAATAAAACAATTCTCGATATCAGCAAAGTATATAAAAATTTAATTTTTTTTTACAAATTTATTTTAAAATAATAAAAATTTAAAATTTTTGTTGAGCCAAAAAAAACGATTGCTATAATTATTTAAGCTTATAAAAGTGACTAACTCATAATGATGACCATCTCCTTATCTTAAACACTATATACCTATCCCTCACTGCTAAAAAAGTTATCAAAATTTTCTATATATTGATCAAAACTTAGTTGTCAGTAAAGGATAGCATTTTTTATAATATCTTTCATTATTTTAAATACATTTAAAAAAAAATCAATCATACAAGGAAATAAATACTGCAGTTATTCCCTGTTGGAAAAAGGATCAATTTAGAGCGGATTTAAAGGATATCAAAAAGCATATTGATACCTTGGAAAAAGCCGAAAATAATAAAATCCTTCAAAAAGTTTGAAATTTTAATAATTGTTTTTTTTAAAAAAAAAATTTGTTATATATTAAAAATGATAATTCTTCAGAGATATTCTTAAATATTTGACATAATACTTTTTATCTTTTATTTTACCGAATATCCAATAATATCATATCCACAAATTACAAAATAAAATTATGTCCAAAATGAATATCTAAATATGACCAGGACTTAAATGAATAAAATCTGAATATAAATTTTAAAACAATGACCTTTTATTCTCAGATTAAATTGAGGAAAAAAATATATTCATTTGAGGCAAAAATCAATAAAAAATGGGTCAAATAAAATTTTATAAATAAAATACGAGGAACATAAAAACAAGGCTAAATAATATAACACTAACATAATAAAATAATGTTGATGCCCGTCACTTATAAAGTGGCAGATACAACAAAACCCTTTCGATTTTTTTAATATTTAAATTATATATTATGCTAATAGTCAATAAGAATTAAAAAAATCACTATGCTTATTTTTAATATCCAATTCGATCTGATTTATCTAATAAATAATTATTTACCTTATAAAAAATTTTTTTAAAGAAAACATTAATTTTTTTTCTAAAATCATATATATCTTAAATATAATATATCTATAATATATTTGACCAAGAATAATAATGTTTTATTTTTAGGGATTTAAATTTTAATAACCTTTAGAAATTCAAACAAATGACCTTTATTTTTTTTATTTAAAAAAAATCAGATAATCGACGAAACTAAGGTATTAGCTAATGAAACGGGAGAATCATCATATATAGTTCACAAGTTTGATGTTGGGAATAACAAAAAAGTTATACTAAATTATTATAATTCGGGAGAATAAATTTTGTTTAATTAAATTTTAAGTGATCTGGGTAGTCTTTTAAGCTATTCTTCTTCATCGTTTTAATGTCAAAATTTGTCCTATCCTTTCATATGACTCTTTTGGGCCATGTCAACCTCAATTTTCATATCCAATATTTCCATGCGAAGCATAATTTTAGGATTTGAGTTGTCTTAATAATAAATTAGTTTTTTTTGATATAATCATTTCTTTTTTAAAAATAATAAATCTATACTGTAACTTTAAAGAGAATTAATACTGATATGAAAAATATATCATTTAAAAAAATATATTATTTAGGCATTAGATGCTGCTATTAAAGAATACCAAACAATATGTCCGGACTCATCTATAATGTTTATAGGAGTTGAGAATAATAAAGATGAGGAAGATGTAAAGATAACTTTAATGTGTCGCGTTCCTGGGGTATTATAAAACAAATGTTTTTTTTAAACTATTTACAGTGCTAAAAATATGATAAAATTATTCGAGGCTCATTATTTTTTCATTTAGTTCAAATAATTTTATTTTAATACAAATGTATTATTATTACCAGAGTTGTTAAACCCTACTTTTAAAAGTAGCATGCTACTGCTATCGCTAACCAAGCTCTTTTTTGGCTACTTTTTATAAAAAAAATTTAGAAATATATTTGTTTTATTTTTTGCTTATAATGTAATTGAATAGTATATAACATATAAAAATAAATATTTAAATATAATTTGTTTTGTAAAAATAATTATGTAATAAAACTATAATTTATTTAATAAAAATATCTATTTATGGTAATATTCATTTTTTATTTATTTTGCTGCATTTTAATAATAAAATCATTCCTATACTAACATTCCAAGTCGTCTAGAGCGAGAAGCAGAAAGTATAAGTTTCGTTTTACTAAATAATCTCTCAAGCACTTGATGGCAAGGCAGTATTTAATTTTATATACATATTTTTAATATAAGAAAAATTATCAAAAATACTCATTTGTATTTACAGATTTAAAAAGGACGTCTGGGGGATTTGTTATATTAGTATCCATTATTTCAAAAAAATTGTCAATGGAAGTCGTTTTTATGGTTCTAACTAGGGCATCTTTGTCGGCTATCTCAATCATTAGTGTCCAACGAAAAATTATTGTACCAGGGGATGAGTTTCAATCATCATAGTAAATGAAGGAGGCTCGACAATAACTTTTATCAACCAGTTTCCTGGAAATATTAATATATGCAATATTATAAATCATTTAGCTTGAATTGAGTTGATCTTTTTGGATGTAGTCTCCCTATACCAAAATTATTAAGATGTTTTTCTATCTCTTTAAAAATGTTGACATAAACATTCTTACAAAATTAATGAAAATTACCTTTAGGTGGTTTTTGAGGTTATAGCTACTAGATGTATTTGAGGATATATTTTTTAAAGTTTGAACAAATAAATTTGTAGTCACCTTTTGTTTTTATATTAATTTGAAAATGTTTTTCCAATTTTGTAAATTAAATATTTGTATTATTGTTATCAAGAACATTTTCTTATATGGTACCTTCCATTTCATTAATATCATAATTGTCTGACTCACTTAAATCGATTTGGATATCCATTTGCGTTGACATTTTAAATAATTTACACCAGATGATTTAATTTTATAATACAAATTTATAATATGAATTTTAAAATTAAGTAACAAATTATAAAAATCATAATTAATTATGATATTTTATTTAAATTTTCATGTTTATAGTTACATTCATTATATTTTTAAAAAGTTGCAAAGTAGTGCTCTAATTAGCTACTTTCAAAAAAGGAGCGCGCTTAAGAAAAATAAACAATTGGGAAAAAAAGTAGCGCAGCGAGCTACTTTAACAACTCTGATTTTTACGTTGTATATAATATTATAAATTTTCTTGTTTTATTAAAAAAAAATAGAGCACTGTAGATACAGTTGGCCTCAAAGCTAACGAATGGATAAATTACTTGATAAAATCTATGAAAAATGTCAAATACGGAGGCAAAGATATATCTGCACAAGCGGTAGGCTTCTTAGATCATATAAAAGAGGTAGCCACAGTTAAAGATTTGGCGATGAATTTTGCGCGAATGAAAATGAATCGTGAAAATTTTTGAGTTTATTATGTAATATTGTATTTTAACTTTTTTGAATGTGTTGCTAACGGTTTCCTTATTTTTTTTATATATTAATAATTATTTTGGAAATAATTTAGTTTTATTATAACTAAATAATATTATATTTTGTGCACACATTCATAATATTGGAAATGCACATTATTAAATTTTCTACATATTAATAATTTATCAATTTTGAAAAATGTAAAAAACTAAATGATTCGTTAATCACATGATTTAGTCTTCTCATCTTGGAGTTTGACGATTTGAAGTGTTTCTATTTAATCCATAGTTTTAAATATTTTGACAATAATTTATACATATTACGAAATCAATTTTTACTCTTATTTTACATATTGCGCATCAGGGCGCTTTTGTGGCTAGTGATTCACTCCGTCAAACCATTTGTTAAACAAGAATCAAATTTGATTTAAATACAATTAGATACATTTTTTAAATATTAAATGTTGGAATCATGTGGTCCTTTCCGATTTATTATATATCAGACCCCACAATACAACCACCTAGTTCAGAAAAAATGGAAAATTTTCTAGATTAGATTCCCATACATCAGCTGGAAAAAGATAATCTAAATCATTGACTTCAAAATTTAAGTGGCTTAAATTATAATAAGGTTTAGGAAATAGATTATTTGTAAAAATGATAAACAAGCATGCTGGGGAGTCCATCCTGTTATTTTAATAATTCTTGAACAACTTAATATCTATTTATTAATTATAAGATTTATATGTATCATAACACAGAGAAAGTAAAATAAAAAAAACTATTAACGTTAAAATAATTTAATATAGAACGCAACACTCAATTTATATAAAAACAATCAAATGATCTTATAACGTGAAATAACCCATCTCCCATTCCTCAAAGGAAATAAGACGGTAACCACACACTGACAGATATATGAGAAGAAAGCACGGTGCAAAATTGTGATGATGCTCATTGTTCTAATAATTATTTTACAATTTTTATTATAAATAATTATTTAAACAATTAATGAAATTTCATTTATTCTATACATGAAAATATTTTAGTTTTTTAAATATATTTTAATGAATAATTTACATTAATACACACGTTTCAGAATTATCTCTGAAAACGCGATAAAAATATATTTGATGAGTTTTATTCAATTCTTTTATTGTATTTATTATGCTATAATAGAAAGGTTCATGTAGTAAAAGGGTTTAATATACCACTTACATTTTAAAATCAAAAGGGTTTGGAAATTATCTATAAGAGAGGGTGTGCAGGAGGCTCGAGTTCTCTGAAAAATTTAAAAAGTCCCTATAAAAAAATTTTGAAGGTCCGGTTAAGTAGTAGGAACGATGTAAGGATCAATTACCAAAACCTATGCCATTATTTAGAGTCTTAATTGATCTTCAAACCAGACATCAGCGGAATCAAAGGTTATCGAGTTATAAGCGAAATAATGAAAGCGCGAAGATTTGTAGCTGTATGAATGTTTTGAGGATCAATTACCGAAACTTATACCATTGTATAGCCCGTTAATTGATCTTCTATCCGGAAAGCAGCGGAATGAACCGTTACTGGGTTATGAGCAAAATAAGAAAGTGTTGGCACTTTGCCAAAACCGAAAATATAAAAAATCACGATCTGAAACTTGGCAATTATTTAGGCTTTAATTTGTGCGTTAATAATTTCCAAACCGGATAACGATATCACTAACCGCAACCGAGTTATGACCTGTTTTTAAAGCGTGAAGTTGTAGGAATTTTTTTAAAAAATGAGGATCAATTACCAAAAATTATGCCAAAGTGTGGTGCGTTAATTGATCCTCCAGAATCTTTAAACCGCATATCAACGGAATGAACCGTTCGTGAGTCATAAGCAAAACAAAAAAGTATTGGCACTTTGCCAAAACTGAAAATAAAAAAGATCATGTTTTGAAACTTGGCAATTATATAATATTCAATACGTACATTAACAATCACCAAACCGGATATCGATATCACTAACCAATACCGAGTTATAACCGTTTTAAAAATGTTAAGTTGGCGGAAATATTTAAGCTGTAGGAACGATTTGAGGATCAATTACCGAAACTTATACTATTGATTATAACTATACGCTATTTTTTTAATTTGGAATTCTATTATGTATTACATATTAGAGTGGATATTATTTATAAAAAATTAATATACATAATTTTTTTATTAAATGAGTACTCATTTAATTAATAGATTATTACAAGTAAATTATATTTTTTTATGTAAACAATTGCAAAAATTCTGTGTTAAAAAATGGAATATCAATATCACTCATAATGTCTTAACTCTTAATATCGATCATGCATTAAAACATTAAGTTAAATTGATTTAATATTATTTAAATTATTTTACAATCGCAATTAAGTAAATATTTATTAATTGAAAATAAAAATATTCCACTTTATTATTTTGATTTGTGTTAGCCGAGTTCAAAATCATTAATCAAATTATTCATTTTTAGATTTAATTTACTTTGCCTTTTCCTAAGAAAATTTATAAGATATAAACTTTTAACTCAGTATATTTAATTAAAATATCTTTTAATCTCATATTTTATATTTAGTAGAAAATAAAGAAAGAAGAGATTAAACAGAAGAGGGAACAATGGAAAAGTTGGAGTTAAACAAAGTACATTTAAAATACTTTCAATTTCAAATTATGCTTTAGATAATTAAATAAGAATAATTGCTGTTCTGAGAAATAATAGAAGCAAAAAAGTATAGAGAAAGAAAATAGGATTAATTTATTTATAAGATATTTTATTTGTAAAACAATAGAAGCTATTAATGGTTGAATCTGGAGATATGAGCTATGATAGTAATAGTTTTTTAAATAATTATAACTAAAATTAGATATAGGCATCGAATCGGATGAGGATATTATTAGTATCAAAAATTGATAAAAAGGTATATAAAATAAAGGAGTTGTATTGCAGTTCTACAAAGTACATTTAATGGAATACACTTTTAAATTAATCTTATTTAAATTTTTTGGGCAATGAAGAATAATTTTGAATGATAGATAAAAAAAAAATGGTTTCAGAGCGTTATATTAAAGGGATTTGCTAAGAATATTATTGCTTATGTTCTTTTTTTAAAACCATTATCAATTGAGTCAGTGTATGTATAAATAAAGATATAGCACTTGTAATTTTTTTTACATTCGAAATCACAAATATTTACTACTGTAATAAGGCATTGTATGAAAAAATAAATATTTTCTTTCACTTTTGTAATTTTATATTCGAAATCACAACTCTTTAATGCTTTAGATTTTAAATTATAATGATATTCGGAACTGTAATAAATGGATAAATAATTTATTAGCTTACCAAATGTTTGTATTGATTAGCATTAATTATTTATATTAGTATGCAGTATAATAAATGACAAAATATGAAATATTGATTACTAGTTCAGTGTTTGCTATTTCAAATTTAAAAAGTATACTGTAAAAATAAAACTGGACCGAAGCTCAAACAGGCCGTAGTTCCTTAAAATAGAGATTATAGTGAGGGGCTTCGTTCCCTTTAAATTTTTCTTTAGCTGAGCCCACTTCGACTATAAAGACTCATGACATACCTGAAAAAAAACTTATTCGCGTTAAAATCTTAATTACTTAAAAGTTCAAGCAGATGAATATTTGTTTCAATAGCCCACATTATATAACTAATATTTTTAATTTTGCTAAAGATCATATTTATGTTTAAGATATAAATGAGTATCATATTTAGACATTTGATGACCATATATCTACAAAATTATTTTACCTATTTATTCACAAATTATTTTTTTTACAAGATAATGGATATGTAGAGCCTTGCCTAATCTATTTACCAGGTTCACCTAATCCGTATAAATTTTTTTAATCTTTCTTGAATTCATCCTTTGGGATATAAGGTGGTTCGACATATTAATAAACTACCGATGGTTAAGCCTCTTTAGTTTTGACTAACAGCTTAAAAAGAAAACGAAAAAATAACAATTATATCAAATATTTAAAATAAGGCGTCCTAATTCAAAATCTCTCAAGCTTAGGCAAAAAAAGTATTGAGTATCAAAACAAAGCCGAAACAAGATATACCAATCAAGCCTTTTATTTTTATAAAATCTGAATGTTATTAAATCGAAATTGTTTTTATTAAACTGTTGAAAAGTACTAAAAGAATGCTTAAAAATTATTGAAATATTTTAAACTTCTATTGCTATTGAAAATAATATTTATGTAGATATTACGAAGATAAAATAAATAAATAAAGATTTGGAATCGTAGTGCTGTCAAAATCCATTATTTGTCTAATGTTCAAATATTTTGGCCTTTTATGGGAAAGTGCTAACTCGTGAATTTTGAGGTAAGTCTACCTTTTCATCATGGAAATCCCAAAACTATTTGGGGTTCTTAAACGAGTCGTATTCTTCCAAATGGCTACCTTTTGGGACATGTCAATTTTATTATCCAACATGTCTTAGCTAACATTTAAATTTCCTCAAATTTATTTCTTTTATTTAATTCTAACAAATGAAAATTAAAGAAAAGAAATCTATCTATCTAGAAATTTTTTATTCATAGATAATAGAAAATATTATTTATACAAGCTCACAACTAATTTTTAGATTAAGATTAAATTTGTTAATTATTACCAACTCATGTTTATTTGTTATTCCTAGTCCAAATTAAAATGTTGAAAGTTTTATTAAGATTTTGTTGGGAGGTTAATGCCGGCTCACTGATTACTATAATATATATAGTATTTATTTCATATTTGAAATGATTGCCTTCAAGATCTAGTTCAAGATTTTTGGGTAATAAATAATATATACATTGGTTGTCATATAGCAATTTGATAAAACACGATTAATTATTAAATACAAAACCAACTTATTTTTTTAATATATATGTTAGCGTCAATGTGTTTTTTCAATTTTGATTTTAACGGATATGTATTCCAGCAAGTTTAGAATAACTAGCTTATGAATTATAGATAATATAACCGATAACATTTGAGTCATTTAAAATTTATATAAAAAATTTAATAAAAATTATTATAGTTTAATAGTTCATAGAAAAATTCTCTGAAATTCATAGAGTATGTATTACAAACATGGCGGCATACATCTACGGTAAAATCAGACTTTTAAAACGCGCTCAAAAAACGATTTAAGGTCGATAAAATAACATTGATGCTAACATATACAACAAAGTCAGTGGTGGCTTCCGATATACTATACACCCCCCCCCCCATAACACGGGTCGACCTATAATTTTAGAAAAAATTATATAGGCATGCTTTTAGCCCGCTAACACTTCGAACGGGCGTGGTCAAGTTTTATAAAAAAAAATAAAAATGGGGGATGGTCGGGTAAATATTACTAAAAAAATTATAAGTGGGAGGGAGGGCGAGTTAAAAAATTTTCAACAAATAGGTGACCTTTTTTAGCTAAAAACCCACCCATTGCAAACCTCTACCCAGAACTAACAGGCACTGAGTGAACTAGGTCACAAACACCAGCTAAAATTACAGTTATCGAATATTTTAACAAATAAAAAGAGTTCAAGAAGTCATACGTCATAAAGCGCACACGCCCTCTAAACGTTGTAGGTACAACAGAGCTACGCTAGGTATTTCTCATTTCCATCTAATTGGATTAAATAAAATTTGGGAAAAAGATGAGAAGCCCTTTACACGTTTGTGGGCAAGCCGTACGTACTTGTTCGCACAATACACAATAGTCCAAGGACTATTGTTTAAAAGGGAGGACCAGTGTAAACAGCCCACACCCAAACCTACAGCCCTATAGAAATTAGAGTAAAAGGGACATGAGGAGGCTTTCTAGATAAAATTAGCATTTAAGAGGTTTATGTACAAAATATAATGAGTAAATAAGAAGTGAAACCTGTGCTCATGTTGCGGGTATCTGGGTTTTTGAGGAGGGGAGAGAGTAATTGTAAAGGAGGGGATATTATTTCAGTTAATTAGACTTAATCCTAAGAAGTTTATTTATGGATTTTTTATTTTTATTTAATTTGGTAAATAGTTTCCAATTTAGGTTCAGGTCTGCTACGTCTTTTAGAACTCGATGAAACCAGAGTGTCTTGTTGTATTTGCTATATGATTTCCTTTTGCAGGTGAAAAGCCATGTGAGGGCGTCGTGGGCCAGGTTGGAATTTGGATGTCTTAGTATATGAGCCAGAAATTGGATGCGTTTTTTCTTTAGTAGTGTGAATGGGAGTATGTTTAGATTTTTTCCATAAGTTTTCATTGGAAATTAATCTTGGGTAAAAAAACCCCATTTATGATCCTTAAACATTTGTTGATAAATGTTTGGCATCTCCTATTGTCAGCTTTAATAATCTCCCATGTCTCGCAACCATAGAGCAAAATTGGTATTACTATAGAATTGAATATCCTAAGTCTAGTATTGACAGATATTTCTCTGGTCTTCCATAGTTTAAAGTATTTATAAAAGGTTGTTCTGGCCTTTTGTATTCTCAACTTTAGTTCATCTTTACATCCTCCACTATTATCTAGAGTGATTCCTAGATACTTCACTTACGTGACAACCTTGATAACATCGGATACAATTTCAATATTTTCGAAAGGGGGAGTGTGTTTTGCTGGGAGGATCATAGCCTTATTAAAATTTATCTCCAGCCCAACTCTTTGACTTGTAGATTTTAGTAGTAGAATAAGGTTTCGGGTTTCTTCTAGGTTTTTAGTAATAATCACTACATCATCTGCATAGGATGATTCTGTTTTAAATGATATCTGTTATCCTGGGGTGAGTTTAGTTCTAGTAGATATGCAGCATCTAGGGTATCCTTCAATATTTTGATCATTACAATGTTAAACAGGATAGGAGAGAGAATACAGCCCTGTGTAACTCCTTTCTTTATTCTAAACGGTGGGGAGGTTATATTATTAAGTCCACATGTGGTTTGCAGATTATTGTAATGGTTCCTCAGAATCCTAATGATGTTTCCGTCCACTCCAACTTCTAATAAGATTCGCCAAAGAGCATTATGATTGACATTGTCGAAGGTACGTTTAAAATCGATAAAGGTGAAAAGGAATGGTAGTTTATATCTATCGCATTTTTGAATGATGATTTTGAGGGTAAGAAAAGGCTCCATAATATTTTTACCAGGACGATACGCACAAATATATTTAGCAAAGAGTTTATGCGATGATCGTAGAATACGGGTCTCATTAAAGATTTAGAATATTTAACATATGTATTCATTCACTCATAAAATTTATGAATAATTTTGATATTTTAGATGATTTATATGAAGATATTAAACAAATCAAAGGGGATGTTAACTATATAAAGTAATATTTAATATTTTTCTAATTAATTCTTCAATTTAAAGTGTTGATAAAGAAGTACAGACAGAATCTGTAAATTTATACAATTTATATATATATATTATCTTAATAGACTGAAAATGAACAAATTATTAAACTTGAAACAAATATTATTGCATTGCATCATCTTGCCGAAGAAAGAATTAATGAATTATTAGATATAAGAGATAAACTTATGAAAGAAAATGAAGTATTAAGAAAAGAGCTACGATGCATCAAAATAAAACACAATGAACAAATAAAGTAGACTATGTAAAAAAAATTTGCTTAAATATTTTAAGGATTAAGCCAAATGATGACACTTTGAAAAATATTCCAACTTCCCTAAATTATCCTATTTCAATTGCAAACATTAAGAGTAAAGATATAGAACATCTTAGGGAACAATATAAAAAGACTAAGGAAGAAAGTATTCAAAAAGGATATAAAGATAAATCAAAGGTTATAAATAATGAAATTGGACATAAAGGACAATCAAGATCAATAAATAAATCTAAAACATCAAGAGAATCAGGTTTTAAAGATAAAATAAAAGATGACCCCAAAAAATCAAGACAATCAGGATCCAAAAATATACCTAAATGTGATTAATGACTCTTAAATTTAATGATAAATATAAAGATGACTAAAAAATTAAGACAATCTAGGCCTATAAATAAATCTATAGATTATTCTAAATATCAATAAATATTTATTTAGCATAATAAAATAAAATAAATCATTTGATAATTAGAGGAGGCTCTTGAATATTATGTCTTTTTCTAAATGATTTCAATGATTCTTCCCAATATTTTTCAAAATAGATGGCCATTAAAAAATTTGAGTTGTAGCCACAATTGACTGCCCAATTAAGATAATAGTCTACATATAATTTTTTCTGCCTATTAAATATTTATATAAATATGAGTTTATTATGCACGAATAATTATAGTGTCATTTAGAGCTGTGCCAATATTAAATAACAAGCCTTAGGCACAGAAAAATATTAATGTTATATTTATTTCCTATTCCCTTTTCTGTCTGATTAAATATCACAATTATAAAATGAATATTAAAAAATCTGAAGTTGGAAAATCAACATTCATATAAAAAAAATATTTTAAATTTAAGAATCTTCCTTATGCACTTTATTAAAAATTTAAGCCTGATTTTTACCCTTTTACCATGGTCTTCAAGTAAAAAATTTCAATTTTATATGTCTCTAACATAATTTACTGATAATAAAAAGTGAATAAAAGAAACTAAAATCTAATTTATTTATAATGTTTAAAAAAATGTGAATTATTTTAATAGGGTGATATTATTTTTTCAAAAAGAAATGGATTTAAAAATATTTAACAAGTAACATTCACTTATAAACATTGTCCATATTTTGAGATGATTAATGAGAGCAATAAAAAGACAAGATATATTTAATCATCCATGTTAATGCACCAAAGTTGTGGCTATAAAAAACTACAGTTTACAATTAGTTATTTTTTGGATATTTATTTTATGAAGGTAAACATAAATCCTAAATGTAAAATTATTTTTTCCTACTAATAAGAAGGTATTGGATAGGTGAAAAGTTTGTAGATATCATTATGGCATAATTAGCTAGCATTTCACCAAAAAATGGCTTAAAATAAATTTAAAAATTGAAGTTTAATTATTTTCATAAATTATTTTTACAATTTTCTTAAAAGATGATCAGAATAACAAAATAATTATCAGTTATTGATATAAATATGAATATAAAATTTATTATTTAAATATATCTCATTTTAAAATAAAAAAATTCTTTAATATCTGAAAGTGGTGAAAGACTTATAAAATGGAAGATGCTAAAATTTTATTTATGATATGACTAAAACATGTAATAAATATACCAGAATTGAAAGGATCAGCCTTAAATTATTCTTTTTAGCTCATTTAATCATATTATATAACCTTTTATTGAATCTCAATGGACCAAATAAAGATGATAAGGCACACATGGGAAGACCAGTTTGAATAGCTTCAACCCATTTGACACAAACTTCCCCTAAAATATTTGTAGGCATACCTAATACTGTGTGAAGCAGATCATGGACATCTCTATTTCTTCTAATAATATAACTTAACTCAGGATCGTCAATAAAATGAACTGGTTTTCTTGTATCTGGGCTAACATTCTACTATAACAAAATTTTATTGTATTTAAATAATAAATATTTTAATTTTTTTCTCATTAAGATCATCTATAATTTTTTTTAATATAATTATATTATCATAGATTTTCATTATTTAATATAAATTTGTAGAATTCTGGAAATATATTTTGCAATCAGAAATAAATATATAAAAAAATAATAAATTAATTTGATCCAAATTTATATTAAAATAATTTTTCTGCAAAACTTCCTAAAAAATGAGAGAAATTTCTAACAATAAGTTAATTATGGAAGTGACTACACCACAGGGTTTAGCAAAAATCTTCAAATGAGCATTTTTCGCTCAAATATGAAGCAGAAAATTTTTGAAGATCAAAAAATTGTAGATTTTTTTGTAAAAAGAAATTTTGAGCAAAATAAAAACATTTTTGTAAATGATTTTCCCATTTATGTTTTTTTATTTAGATTTTTAATAAAAAATTTTCCCATAACAAAGGAAAGTCATTGTTTTAAAAAGATGATGGAAAAATGAAAGATTTTATTATAGTATAAAAATCCCAAAAGATTTGCTCAAAATCTTAATAGATTTTTTAATAAAATTTTTTATTTTGCTCAAAAATTTTTTTAAGCATGCTCAATAAGAACAAAATCTGAAAAATTTTGAATTTTGAGCATATTTTAAACCCTGTTACACCATATCATTTTGATTAATTTATATATATAAAGCTTAAACAACATTTTTTAATAGCCTATGTGATTGAATAGTAATGATTGCATATTTAACCAATGTAGTTTTTGTTGGTATGAATTTTTGTATAGAATATCTAGTTTTCTAGATGAAATTAAACTGACAAGTTAGGGGAAGGATTTGATTGAATTTCACTGGAGAAACTTTATGTTTAATACCAAATTTATAACAAAAATACATACGATGTGAGGAGTTTTAAACAAATGAACTTGAGATTTTGTTTACCACTCCTAGATGCTTACATAAAGGGATTGAATTTAAGGAAATTAATCAATATTTAATAATTCTAAGTTCATTGGGACAATATTTGTAGATGAAAATATTATAGCAACTATGCTCCATCCTTTTTTAAACTTGATTGGATATGGTTACAAATGGATAAAAATTTTAATAAAAAAAAACAATTAATACAAAGATTAGTTGATGAATTATCAAAAACTGATTGCAAATAAATAACCTGTGAAAAAAAACAAATAATTTAATATCCGATTTTTCAGTACCCCACAGCAGCAGATATGATTGTTAATAATGATTTAAATTTTGATACTCAACAAATTTTAAATAATTTTTTTAAAATTGAATGTAAGATTTTACTATTTTAAAAAATATCCTGTATAAAATTGTTATTCATAAGATATAATGCACCAATCCTCAAGCGTCCCAGTAGAAAGACTTTTTTGTTGTAGCTAAAAATATATTTATAGATAAACAAGGATGCCTCAATGACAAAAATTTTGAAAATATTTTATTACTGAAATCGAATAATTATTTATAATCATTTAATCATATATTATATTAAAATCTAAAAATCATTATTTTTTGTTATATTTTGATAAAATATCGAGTCAATAAATTTTTTAGCTCATTTCATGAATTTTCACAATAGAGTCCTAATTTAGGTTTATGCAAACCTTATATAAGAGTATAAAAAAATTGTATATCTAGATAACTTTTTAGATGATGTGGAAAGTATCTTTTAACAACCTGAAAATACCAACCTTATAAGGCCATTCCCAAACAAAAGGTTTTTTCAAAGCGATTTTATGGTAATTTTACCAGCAATTTTTTTATATATTTCCAATCAAAGGATACTAACTTGTTTAAAAATAACAATTCGGAGTCATATTTTATGAGTTCATTTAATCGTTATTAAAATCAAACTTGTTTGTTTCTATTTATGATTAAAAAAATAGGGATCTGGATTGTTTTTTTAAATAAACATAATATATTAAAAAAATTAATTCGACAAATTAGTTTTTTTTTGGAAAGCCTAACATTTTTACTAAAAAAACTCATGCATTCCATGATAGCTTTGAAAATGAGGGTAAATAAGTTGAATATATATTCTTAATTCAAGATAAAATTGGCCGAACCTAGATGCATGAATTGGTAATTAGCAATTAAATAGAATCTTCCTATTCAAATTAAATAAATATGAAGGAATTTCAGGGGTTCAATGATATATAGATGAAGATAATGAATAATAAAAGAATTCTTCATGTAAATACTTTTTCCTGCAGTACTGTCAAGTGTGAAATGGGCTTTCATCTTATGAATATGATCATGGTATATAATCTAGTAAGTTTAAGAGTAAATAATTTGTAAAATCTATGTTCATAAATATTAATAAACCTTCAGTATCAGAGTATATTCCAGATCCATATATTAAAATATGGAAAAAAGGAATCATCGTTACAAAATATTTTCAAAAATATATAGCCTAAAAACAAAGAAATGAAAGATTTATGTAATTATTTTTAATGTTTAAATTTATATAGATATCAGTGGTAATAAATCTGTGACATTATTTTTAAAATATATAAAAATAAATAATTTATTCATATTGGTAATTATAAAAATTCAATTATATTTATATCATATATTTTGATAATAATAAACAACTGTAGCCCCTGCCAAATTTTTATGCAATACATTGCTATTCTAATCCAAAAAAAATGAACCATTGTTCTTAACTACAGATTTTATAATTTTAAGAATATCTGGTCTAGTGTAGCCACAACCAACTTTTTAGTATAGAATGATAATAATAGAAGTTAAAGATAGAATAATTACATTATTATTATACCAGTCCAAATATGATTTTCCTAATGTGTTTTGAGGTAAAGAGGCTAGATAATTAAAATTTATAGTGCTGCTATTAATAATTGGCTTTTCACTAAATAAATTAAAAGTTGATTAATTATTAAAAATACGTGAGTATTTGTTTTCCTTCATCATTTTTATGCATTTTACGTTGCATGTATCTTGCTGCATTTATTCCTATAGTCTCACCCAAAGTGGCAACCATATCTACAAAATGATTAAAATTAAAACCTATTTTATGAAATAAACCATCTCGAGTTGGGTCTAAAATAGAAATTATAGAGGATCCTAAAGTTAATATTAGCTTCTGTAAAGAGTTTGTTGGAATATGCCCATTATATAACAAATTCATATTTATGAAGAATATTAGAAATAATTTTTATAGGTATAAATAGATTTTTACGAAAATTAAATGATTGACTATAATATTATATAATCGTTTAAGATGATTTATTAATATATTATCATAAATTAAATTGTTATAGATAAAATAAGTGATTTTTGATAAAATTTATTCAAATAACATTTATTTTAACGAAAAAAGTATATATATATGTATTTTATTTTAGGAAAAAAATATTAAATACTTCTTCATCCTTTCACTAAAACATCTGTGATAATATGCCAAAATCTCAAATATCCCACGACAATCCAATATCCAAAATTAGTATTATAATTACTAAATAAATTATAAATTTTTAGGTGTCGAAAGATTTTCAGAAAATATACAAATAGTTGCTAATGAACCTTCTTTAGCTTTATTTAGAATATCTGAGCATATTAGAAGATCACTACCTCAATTAACACACTCAAAAGTTAGCACAACCCTTTATCCTGATTTATCTATTTTATTATTAGATTCAAATTGAAAACAATCAGGACAAATTATTAGGAAAAATATATGATATTGATACATCTATCAGGTATAATTCATAAAATGATTTCTATCTGCCATTGCCAGCATATTTAATTGTTGATATGTTTTTGCATGATTTTTTTTAAAAATATAATATCCAATTGTTCATTATATATCAAAAAATTAGGGCTGCATTGATTCAAAATTTTTTCAACAATCCTATCCGATAATTATTTCAAACAACACTGATCTGATATCTTTATTTACATTGATTTTTTTTTGTCATTATTTTATATAATATAAGATAATGAAATAATAAAAATCAGTATAAATTTTAAAAACACATTTTAATCAGAATATTCACTTATCCCATATCTTAGAAATAAAAAAATGTCAAAGCTTTATAATTCTAAAAATATATCTTATCTTTAAATTTGCAGAAAGATGTGTATGTAGATAATAATGTCTTATCTTATTAAGTTGTAACCCTAGATAATAATTATACATATAGTTTCATTATTGATATCATCCATGTGAATTAATGAAATTTAAATTCCCAAAATAGTTATTTTCTATAAGTTCCTTTTTAATAAAAACCATGAGATAACAATTGGAAAATTAAAAATGTACAAAAATTGGTAATTTTCTTTTTACATTAGTTTATTAAATATAATTTACTTCTTCTTTCAATAAAAAAATGTTAATAAAACATTGAACCTTTTTTATTTTATAAGGGACATCTCCCTTCATATTTTATGTGAGTTATGATGATTTATTTTAAAAAAGGAAATTAGCTCAAAAATTAATTTTAAAAGATGTTTGAAAAAATATATGCAATCAGTAGTGGTTTAATTTTTAAAAAATATCAACTTATCTGATAATTTTTTTAAAAGTTTAATATTGGCTTAGAACTGATACTGATATCCTACAAATAATCTTTTTAAATCTTATGTGAAAACAAAATGTGGGTTATATTTAGCCTAGTATGAATGAAAATCTAAAACTATCACATATTATAAAAACTATTGTATATTATAATATTTAATTTATATATATTTGAAAGTGTTTTACAAGATATGGAAAAAGTCAAACCTTTATTCAAAAAGTTTCAAAACCACCTGAAAAATATAATATTAATCAATCAAACTTTTGATCATACCAGAAAATAAATATTACAATTTATAGAATCATGACTGAAGTCCTAGATTTATAAAATTAAAACTACATTTTTTTAACATTTATATATAATATTCTATATATATTTATGTCAAATTGCTTAAATATGAGTTTTATTAGTATTAATTATTAAGAAGTATTAGATAGTCAGACATGAATAGTAACAAAATATTTTAGAATAAATACAGAGTAAGTTACTATAACTAGCGCATGTTTTGAATTAGAGCACTGCAAATTCTTTTTTTCTAGGCTGATCATGGTTCTGCCAAATTTTTTATTTTAAGCCTGGCTTGGTCAACAAAAAAAATTAGGCCTAGACTGACCCACCTCAAATTTTTACTTTAAGATCTGAAAATATATAGTAATTTTATCTTAATTCTAGAGGAATTCTAATCATAATTAATTTAGTAATCTCTTTCCCATTATTGTTTCCGTGTCTTCATCAAATACCCCACATTGACATTGTTCGCTTCACTTATGACTTTACCTCGAGTGAAAGGTAAGTCTTCTATCAGATTAATTTTTAATATTTGGACATCTTCGAATTTTTTTGCAATCTCGTTGGTTTTTGTTTCTCTACTCCAAACCAGGATAAAGCGTTGGCATATTTGTTTTAATTTCCAGGTCTATGAATTATCTAGTTATAATTTAATAGCTTTGTCGCCCACCATATTAAATGGTTGTGTAATTTTATTTAAGTCTATTATCACCTATCTTATATTTTGAGTTGTGATACGTAACCATAATAAGATGTTTCCATATATATATTAATTGAATCTAGTGAATAGGATCACCTCCCGATCAATAATGGCCTAATTCATAGACGTAGCCAGGATTTTCCTAAGGGGGGGGGATTAAAAAATTACTGAGGGCTTCGCTCCCAGATCTCATTTTGGGTAGGCCTTCGGCACGCTTTTGCCCGGACTTCAGCAGGGTTACCTTAGTTAGTCTTCATAAAATATTTTTACAATATAGGTTAATTTTAATAAAAAAATAAGCCTGGAACAAATATGAAATAAATTTTTATTAGTTTATATAAAATATAATAAATTACTTGTATATACATTAATATAAAATCATGATAATAATTTATTCCAAATAAATATAATAAATTTATTTATAAAAAGTAACTAGACATAATTGAATTCCTCTATTATATAGAATTGGTTACAAAATACTATGTAAAATTCCACTTTTACACATATATTTGTTAGTTAGGGAATATATTACAGTTAATATTTTAATAAATTTTACTAGTCAATGCTCTTAGCAACAATTTGCCTTCAATTATTTAACGCCATCTATTTATTATAAATAAAAATTGATATTAAAAATTAAATTTCCCACAATATCTTTAAAAGATATTTTCTGATGTCCTTATCAATATTTTATAGTTTACTGTAAAATATATAATTCGCTGTATTGGTAAATTGTCATATGATAATTGATAAAATTAGATATACGGTAAATCTACGACATAATAATATTCCACTGACTGTTTGTATTGTGCTTTAATTTTTTTATTTAATTTTATGAATAATTTTATAATTATATTTTACTTTTATTAAGATAAATAAATTAAAATTACTCACTTTATAAAAAAATTATATTTGATATATTATATTATTTAGTAATTTTATGAATCTATTATTAATAATTATAATACATTTAACTTTTGTCTTAAGACTTATCTTTGGCTTATATTCCATTTCTGAAAAAACATTTTTGGTTCACTTTTTATATATATAAATGCTTTTTCCGAAAATGCATAAATTATGATGAATAGTTTTATAAAAAAATATCAACTTTTACATTCTTTCTTTCATTGTTTAAGATATAAGTAAAGGGGAGGACTAATGGGGATATTTTTTTATTAGCTTAAAATGATATTCACAAAAAGTGATAAATTTCTAAAAAAAAAGGTGGGATTTCCCCATGCCCCCACCCACCTGGCTACGCCTATAGCCTAATTCTTTTCAGCAGCCGAAAGTTTTCTTAATGCGTACGCAATCGATTTCTCCTGGCCAATAAGAAATCGGGTACAATAACAGTTCCTAGACCATCCTCGGAAGCGTACCAGGAAATCACGACAGGAATATCGGCTGAATAAGGAATTGTATCCTTTTTTGAATATATATATTTAACTTTATTAAATATTTCAATTTCTTGAGCTGACCATAATCTACTAATATTTTTACTTGTTAGTCGATGTAAAGGCGACGCAAAATTTTTTTTATATACGACTCATGGTAATTCACCATCTCAAGAAAAAAAACGTAGCTCCTTCACATTTGTCGGTATTTTACAATTTTTTATTGCAATAATCTTATCTTCTGTAGATGAATTTCCGTATTCATCAATAACATGACCCAAATAAATAAATGAATTTTCTCTAAATTTAATTTTATCGGTCGTCGTTGTTAGTTCAGCCTTATCAAATCTTCTTAATACTTCTTTTAAATTAACTACATGATCAAAATTATTCTCGCCAGCAATTATTACATCGCCTAAAAATACACTCACCATAGGAATTCCCTTTAATAGGTTTTGCAGCTTTGAAATATTATCGGAGTGATAATTACCAACATGAGTTGAAATTACCAAAAAGTCCCTACATTCTGGACTAACTCCGTGAAAATATTTTACCATTCGCTGTGTTATTTGTCAGGTCGACGAAAGTTGGTACAAAATCATTATCTATCACTAAATATTTGGATTGTTAAACAAAAATCTCCGCTTATCCATGCAACACAGCGTAGCCCAAGTGAATGTAGTTGTTGGATCTACCGTTTTGATAACGCTTTCGTATAAAGTCGGTTCAACTTAGTTTCAACGGTTCGACGCATCAGAGATGGGACCCTTCTTGCTGGTAAAGCTATCTGCAATGCCTTCGGTTTTATCCCGATAACTGCTTGTTAGAGTTTTATTTCGCCTAATTTCTTTGCAATAGTAATTAAAGTGGGAACATTTATATATAATATTTATTCGAACTTCTCCGGAGGCTTTATATCAAAGTCTTTAATAAAAGGCATTCCAAAAATAAGGAATTCTCTCTTTAAACTACCCAAATAGGTAAAAATTTATAAATATTTATTACTTCAACTTTCACTCTATATTTACCGAACACTACAATTTTCAGTGGCGTAGACAAGAGGGATTTGGGGTTAAATCCCCCCCCCCCCATAACCTCCGAAATTTTTTTCTTATTACGAATAATTTTATTTAAAAAATGGTTTCATATTTAAAAAAAATTATATACGATAAGAAAATGAAAAATATTTAAAAAAACAAATAAGAATTTTCAATTTTAAATGATATCATGGTTTAAAAATATATATTAAAAATTATATGTAAAATATCAAATAATAATAAAAAATATATTGTAAATTTTTTCTGGCATAGTTAAATTAGATATTTATAAATTTAATAATTAAATTTATATTGTTAAACTAATTATAGTTTTAAAAATTTTAATTAATTTTTAAATAAAAGAAAAATCTTTTAATTTGGTAAATATAATGAGAAAGTAAAGGTGATCGCTAATATGTTTGGGATTAAAAATGTTAAACCTAGAGTAGTTTCTAGACACTCCAATCGCTTAAATATCGTTGCCTCTACGATTGAGGATTTTTTTAAAATAAATATTTTTACTCCCCTTATTAATACATTTTTATTTAAATTAAATGAAAGATTTACTCGTCACAATTTTATTTTAAACAGCTTTTATTTTCTTTTGCCGGTTGAGTCTGAATAAACTTGAAACGCGAGTGGATATTAAAAAAATCTCAGAGTTTTATTCTGGTGAATTATCAGAATCGTATGACAAGTTACTTTGTGATATCGAATTTTGATATAAAAATTTTGACAGAATAGAGTACTCTTTGAGACCAAAATATGCTCTGCAGGCTTTTTCCATGTGTAATTGCACTTTAGATTCCCTGCCTAATATTAAAACATTGCTTTTTATTTTAGCTACCTTACCGATTATCATTGAAAAGGTTAAAAACCTATTTAAGAAATAGCACTGGTGAAAGCCATTTAAATGGATTCGCAATATAAAATATTTATAAGGAGATTATTCTAGATAAAAATTTGATTCCAGATGTGTTGTAATATGTAAATTTACTTTGAAATAAAATCGTGAAAAAGAAGTAATATTCAAATCGACTGTTAAACAGAAAAACGAAACGAATTATTATATTATTTGAGTAAAGACGATGTAAATGAAAAGTATATATAATCGAGGATATACTTGTTAAATATTATGAATTTGCGAACATAATTTTTAATTTTTCTTATATTATTTAATTTTGCTGTTTTATTTTAATTACCATTTATATTAGTTAATAAAGTGCCCGAATTTATTTAAATATAGAAATTCATTTTTATAATTACTCAAAATAAAGGATATATGTTATATCGCATCTAGTTTTTATAAATAAAATAAAATATTTTATTTTACATAAAAAATATAACATAAAATTGATATATTTATATCAGAGACCTTCATGGGCCTTAATTTTTTGACCAAACCCGGCCCAGGCAGGTAGTAAATTTTTTTTTTAGGCCTAAGTCCGGCCCGGCCCATATCTAATGTTAAAAAAAATTCCCAAGCCCATGATTAGTTTCAAAAAAATTTCCCAAGCCCATAATCCAAAAATTTAATTTTTTTCTATTCAATGAAAATAAACAATATTTAAATATTTTAGTCAATCATTTCGTTTACAATACTGAAATTTATTATTATTAGAAGAAAAAAAGGCAATATTTCTTTAAATTAGCAACTGTTTTATATAATTTAAATTTAATAATTTTAGGCCCAAGCCTAGCCCAAGCCCATTAAAAAAAAATTCTTAATCCCTGCCCAGGCCCGCTAGAAAATATAATATTTCAGCCCATGAAGGTCTTTGATTAAGATATATTTAAAAAAAATTCAAGGCCAGACCCAACCCGGCCCGAATATTTTTAAAAAATATTAGGCCGACCTAGCCCGAACCCGATTTTCCTACTTTTGTAGATCTCTAATAATAATTATTTATGTTTTATTAATATACTCATTTTTATTAATTATAATTTTTAAATTAGATTTTATTGATTATCGTACAAAATTACTCATATTTTATTGTAATTTTATTTTTTTAAATATAGTTATTTAGAATAAATTTTTAATATAATCTATATAAAATTTATGCATTTTGAAATTTATTTTATTGTATATTATCGTTAAAATAAATACATAGCTAAATAAAGGGGTGTTATTTATACTAAAGTATTATAATAATAAAAAATCTATAATGAAATTCTCTGCAAAATTTTGTTATATGCAAAAATTTAAGTAAAATAATTATTTTTAACATAGAATAAGATATATTAAGTGATCATAAAAAATGGGAGGTTGGGGGGGGCGATTTTATTCTTCTTTCTATATCGAATGGATTGAATTAATTGTAGCCTGGGAATCACAAATGACCATTTACATTGACTAAACATTGATAAATTTTCAGAATAATGCTTTCAGTCGCGTATTAATCATAAATTTGGCCAAAATTTTTTTACTAATATTTTTCCATTTATCTGGCTATAATATTGGTTAGACACTAATAAAGCACAAAATATTGGCAAATTTTTTATATGCAGTTGTGAGGAGGCTCCCCCCCCCCCACCCAAAAAATATTTTTAAACCCCTCCTCCTCCCATGGATCAATCATGACCACGCCACTGACCGTTATTATATCTATTAATCCTAAAATACATGTTTTTGGAACCTTGCGCCGGCTTATGTTAAATAATTTTTCCCTGGGTTTCTCTTTCTAAAGAAGAAAGGGTTATCGCTAAATGCCTAGTATCTTCAAAAGTGTTATTGACTTCGGTCTAATTTGATCGGTACACTTTATCTAACTCAGGCAGCTTTACTCCTAGGTAAAAATATCTCTTAAAAGTTCATCAACAAGCGATTTAAAATTAATTTATTATATTACAGAACAGATGAGAAAATACATAATGAAATTGA